GAATTTGAAAAAATTTTTGAAACATCTAGTGCCCTTTTTTGAAAGAATTTAAAAGAATTTGAACGGCCCCTGGGTGTTTCGTTTTTGAAAGAATTTAAAAGAATATCAAGAGTTTCAAGTGTTTCTTTTTTTAAAGAATTCAAAAGAATTTTAAATTTCCCAGGGTGTTTCGTTTTTGACATTATTTAAAAGAATTTGAACGACTCCAGGTGTTTTGTTTTTGAAAGAATTTAAAATAATTTGAACGCCATCAGGTGTTTTGTTTTTGAAAAAATTCAAAGGAATCTCAGGAGTTTCAGATGTTTCATTTTTGAAAGAATTTGAACGAATTTCGATGATAATGGAGGTTTGTTTTAAGAAGAATTTGAAAAAAATCTTGAAACTCCTAGTGTCCTTTTTTTAAAGAATATAAAAAAAATTTGAACGGCTCCAGGTTGTTTCGTTTTTGAAAGAATTTAAAAGAATTTCAATGAAACTGTAGGTTTGTTTTAGAAAGAATTTGAAAAAAAAAAAATTGAAACTCCAAGTGTCCTGCTAATTATGTTCTTCTGTCGAGTGGGAGTGGCAACTAATTAAAAATTAGTAATAATTTCTTTTCTCATCCACAAAATTTTTATAGAGAGCTATTTTGACGAAACTCTAAAAAGTAATGTACATATTTCAAATAGCGATTTTGGAAAAAGGGTAGGAATTTCCGATGAAACGAAGGCGAAAATAACTTGTGGATATCGAAATCTACAAGAAAATGTCTTAAACTAAATCTCAGGCATAGTAGAAAAATGGTCGAAAATGTTAAAAATGCCAAAATCAGCCTTATCATATCAAATACTAGCCCCGCCCACCCACCCACCCTGTATTTTCTTGGAAAATATGTCAATTGCCAAAATTATTATTATCTTAGCGAATACTATCCCCGCCCACCCACCCTCTATTTTCTTGGAAGGTACGTCATTTGCTAAAATCAGTTTCTTCTTAGTAAGTACTAGTACCGCCTCCCCACCCACTTCTCATTGTAACTACTAATTTTATTTCTGTTTAGATCATTAATTTCATTCAGATTGGTAAAAATCAATCACTGAAAAGGAGACAGGGTGGTTGAGCGGGGCGGAAATGTAAACAAATTATAGAATCTAGGATGTGAAAAAGTAAAAAAAGCACTAATCGTAGCTTTTTTTGTTAAAATCAGTCTTTTCTTAGCAAGTACTAGCCCCACCCACCCACCCTCTTCTCATTCTAACTACTAATTTTTTCTCTATTCAGTTATTTCATTCATTTCGGATAAAATCAAACACTAAAAAGGACAGGGTGGGTGGGCGGGGCTAATTATGTTCTTCTATCAAGTGGAAGTGGAAACTACTAATGGAATAATGGAACAAAAATTAATAATAATCAAGAATCTTGGGGTTTCAGTTGTTTCGTATTTGAAAGAATGAATGTCGGGGTTCTCGGGTGACTACAGATTAGTTGTTTTTGACAAAATTTAAAGATTTCTGGTGTTTTTACTTCCGAGCGTAAGCTAAGAAAGTATTGTAATCGAGTCCAGACATAGGTCTCTCCTCTCTCCTCCAATTGTAGTTTATGAATCCGTGTTAAGTTTGACCCTAGGTATCCAAATTTTTTAAAATCATCTTTATGCTTTTAAAAATGTATTACTCTTATTATTATTATTTTTGTGTTCATTAAAATTTTATTACGCGATTGCAAGGGGTTGGATGGCAAATTCCAAAAAATATATAAAAAGTAGCCAAATATAAACCATTTTAAAGTAGGTACATTTACCTGCTCCCACTTATAAGACTTTTATGGACTCCCAGAGTTAAGTCGTTTTACAACCCTTTTCGAACCGCATCTTTTCCAAGAAATTTGTACCTGTCTGACAGACTGCCCGGCGCCGGACGAACTTGGGGACAGTAAACATCGGCTTTCCCCTGACAGGCTCTTTAGCTGTACAATAAAATTGACGACAGGGCTGTAAAACAAATCAACTTTGGAAGTCCATAAATTCTTATAATTCTAGACGAACTCTAACACAGTTGCTACCGTTTTTAACTTCACAGGGGCGTACAATTTTTATGGATATACAAAAATGACGTTTTCGACCGTTGTGCTGTTATCAAAAGGCATATTGGCTGTTGTTTCGATCAAATTTATGATTCGTCGTATTGTAAAAACAAAAATCATAAAATTTAGCACTAAAATTCTAAAAATCTATTGAGGGAGTACATATATTAAAAGTGAAATTATTTTAAGTTACATTTAAAAAGGACGAATTCGGATTTTAATTAATGTATTTATTTTCTTTTCGAAAACACTATTTAGGATTGTTTACTTTTTGGCGACCGGCTTCGACGTGAAAAAGTGGAAAAATCGCGTTCGATAACTTTTCAGTTGATTTATGTAGGTTTGAAGGTGACCAGTTGATTAGCCGAAATCGGTCGTAAAATCGAGCATTTTAAACAAAGCCGCTCTGTTTTTCATTTCTCGATCTTCTCGTGTGCCATACCTTCGACGCCCGGTGTACATTAGAAAGTATAGCGAATACCGGCGTGATATAATAGGAATGAATGTGAAATGTCGTGACTTTAAAAAAAAAATTACTCACCCGGATATTTAATCCTTGCGCTTTTAATTACATTTTAATACACAACGTTTCCTGTGCTGTGTCGATATTAAATTCTATTTTCATACGCGCTTAATTGTTTACTTTGCCGTTTTTGGCTCGGGATGGCACTTAATGAACGGAAGCGTCTAATCTTTTCCTTTGAAGATTATCAAACGATCGACTTTTTTTTAATTCTGCAACGTCATCTTCGTCGGATGTCGCCGGATGGACGATGAAAGAAAACGGAAAGTCAGCACGGAATTTGCAACTTTTTATGGTTTATTTTGCGGCGCGATTGACAGTTTTAATGAAATGTTTGTTGTTTGTGGCGAAGTTCAACTTTGACGTCATTATATAGTGTGTGTGTGTGTGTGTTTTTTTTTGAAACGTGAAAACTTATACTTTTAATGTAATTTTTTAATGTTGTATCCGTGTATTTTGTACCAAGGTCTTTTAAGCAAATCAGACGCTTGGAAATTAATGATTCGTGCAGTCACTAATCGGAAGAAATGTTTGCTCCTCACGTTCAAATCCGGCCATCGTGCCATTTTCCCACTGGATTTTTTCGTCGAAACCTTACGGTACCATAATGGTCCCAATCATTAAAATCGCTTAGCTAATTAAAATTATCTAAGCGGTGCCGTATTCTAGCCCGACTTCCGTTTATTAATATAACCCACAGCGCCGTTTTCGTTGCGTCATCACAACCGAGCAGGACACAATGTTTCTAATTTCTGTAATCGAAAGCAGGAGGACTTTCCGCCTCCGTGTCGAAAAACGCTGATTGAATTTGTTACACACGTGGTCGTTGCGCGTTCCGAACGCCTAAGAAAAACAATCGCCAATAAATAACGGGTCGAGGCCCAAACGAAAAAGAAAATTTTTTTCGTGCTCTTTCGGCCGTTCCTTCGTTTCACGGCCGGAACCTCTCGCCCACCATTCAGGTGTTCATTTTTATTGTGGTAATAATAATTCCCACACGATCCACTATTTTTAGTTGATATAATAAACGAAAATTTCCACATAATATCGAGCGCGCACAGGATGTTTACGTAATTGTAATTCTGTTTAATTTTGAGAGAGCGGCTGATTTGACGCGGCTTCCTGCCAAAATCGGTTCGCACGCAAAAAAAGGAGAGTTTTCGAAATTGGTGCGTGATCCTGGCGATTTTGTAATTTTTGTAATGGGGTGAACAAGTTATTGCAGAAATTACAAGTTTCCCGAGATCGGTAATTTTTAGTGTTAATAGGTCTGTCGGTAAAAAATGACCAAGATTTCGTGTATTTATTAGACCATTTTTATTAATGAGTCCTCGATGTGCGTGTTATGTAACCTGAGAAGATAAGTAGTCTCATACCAAGTGTAACAAAAAAAAAGGGAAAAAGTATGAGTGAAAGTAAGTTTTGGAAATGTGTAATTAGAAACGTGTTCCGTCTTTTGTCACAATAAATTTTCTACACTATCGTTTTGATCTAGTTATCTAATGCTGTTTTTAAATTTCATTAAAGATTTAAGGATCTTGTTTTATTTTAGAATTTTCAAAATTATCATGTTCGTTTTAAAGATCTTCAGAACTGCGTCACTTTGTAATGATGTTTATCCTAATATAAATATCCATTCCAGATGAATATGACTTCCTGCCATTTGTAAACAATAAGTAATTCAAACTAAATCATGATCTATTGTTTTATTCTGTGCATGTGTATAGTGCCAATACAGAGTTGATAATAGTTCGGTTGTGTTTATAGTCAACATTGATACATCATAAACAAACAGTATAAATACAGGCTGGCCAATCAGTCCAGTAGTTTTGGAAATTATTTATCTAATAAAATCAAAATAAAATTTTTGTTTTGTTGTTGGGTTTTTGGACGACTGCCTACTTTTATGTTTTCTCGACGTTTCATGACCCCTAGAGTCTGTCTGCCGTCTGTTCGAATTTTTATTATATAAAATAATCTTCGAAACTACTGGACCGATTGTTTTCAGATTTTATGTGTATTAGGATTATCGTGAGATTGTAAATCGCTACCGAAGTTTGGATAAACATCCTCTCCAACAATAAATTGCATTAGTAAATATTATTTCAATTTTCTAAAATAAGATATCCCTTCACACGCGGTTTATGAATTCGTATTCAGTTTTTACTCTAAACATCCAGATTTTTGGAAAAAAAATCAAAATTGTTTAAACATTTTGCAATTTGACTTTGAAAGAATGCTTTGAAATCTTGCCAACGTTGTAAGGTTTTCGTAGTCATGGTAAATCGTTAATCAAAATTTATTCGTTATTCGCCTTCGAAAAGATTGATAAGGTCGTCTCAAAATTTTGCCAAATAAATTCTCTCTCTGAAATATGGAAAATGTTATGACTCTCAATTGTGTTCTTAGATTTTACATTTACAGTAGCGTCCGGTTATAATGAACTCAAAAAATGTAACAAAACTAGTTCATTATATCCGAAGTTCACTATTAACGGAAAAATAAAAACTGCGTTTGTTTAAATTCAATTTACTTCAATTCTACGTTGGGAACAATTCAAAAAATATTTCTTGGTTTATAAACTAAAAATAAAAAAAAACATAGCTATTTATGTAATTACATATAACAAGACGTCACATAAACACAAGTCTACTTGACAAAATCAGTTATTTTTGTCTGTACATATCTATTAGAAAAGTGAATGTCACTAATATAGCGTTCGAGGTTGCAAAAGCTGTTCCATATAGGCTCCGGAACAGTGCGCGATTCTAAAAAGTTGCGAGTCTCTGCCATTTTTTGCGCCATTTCATTAAGAGAAGGAACATAAACATCAACATCTTCATCAGACTCATTTTCCTCACCCTCGGCCTCGTCACTTGTTGCCATGACTGATGTCACTGATTCTATAATCTGCTCGTCAGTTAGTCTTTCTGTTACCGTTATGTCGTTATCAATTTCCACATATTCTTCAAAATTAAATTCCCCGATTTTCTCTTGCACTGCAATTTCAATTGCATTATCCACATCTGTGAAAATAAGTCCAGGATCATCTTCATGTTTTTTTAACCATTCTGTTAGGGGAAGCTCATCGTCTGCATCAAATTCAGCACTTTTTTCAGAAAATCCTCCATGCTTGAAACAGTTTGCTATTGTATCTTTGCTAACCTTTTGCCAAGCCATGTGAATAAAATTTACAGCATCTAAAATGCTAACTGAAAATGTTTTTCCGTTGTCCATAGCCTCTATCATCTGCGCGAGTAAAATTTTCCTATAATGGCTCTTTAATGAATGAATTACACCTTGATCCATCGGTTGTAATTTTGAACTCGTATTCGGTGGCATAAAAACTAATTTAATTTGGTTTAGTTTAATCTCAGGGTGAGCTGTACAGTTATCAACTAAAAGTACAATTTTCCTATTTTTTTGTTTTAATTGTTCATCCCATTCAAGCAGTTCATTTGTGAAAATTTCAGAGGTCATCCACGCGTTACGGTTTGATTTGTATTTTACGGGCAATTGTTTATTTTTGAAACATCTAGGATTGGCAGATTTGCCTATAACCAACAATTTCCTTTTTTCTGTTCCAGACATATTGGCAGCTACTAAAACTGTAATCCTCAATTTAGATAACTTTCCTCCAGCACAACTTTCTCCCACAAATTTTAAAGTCTTATCAGGAGTCATTTGATAAAAGAGCCCTGTCTCATCAGCGTTAAAAATGTCTTCATTGTCATAGTTTTTCCGAATATGAGGCCAAACATTAGTTAACCAGTCATTAACAACATTCAAATCTACTGCTGCAGACTCACCCACAATTTTTCCTGTTCGGATATTATGTCTTCTTTTAAAACGTTCAATCCAACTTTTAGAACACTTGAAGTCTTTGTTTTCGATTTTACTACCCATTTCATTAGCTTTTTCTTGTAGAATAATACCACTTACAGGAACGTTTTCTTGTCTTTTTTGTGTAAACCACTTAAGAAGCCCTTGATCCATTTCATGGTGCTTTGATTTTCTCATTTTTTTACACGTAGAATTTCCCTGACCATACGCTGATAAAATGGCTTCTCTTTGCTTCCATATCATAGAAACAGTGGATTTTATCAAGTTCATTTCCTGGCTAACATCGCGTTGTTTAACACCACTTTGTATTTTTTGTATAATATCATACTTGTCCTTTAAGGTTAGAGCTTTACGTTTTTGTTTTTCCATTTCGAACAATGTTATTACACAAGTAAGTACTTATGTAGCGCTACTTCGACACAGTGACCAAGAATCGACTGGCACAGAAAGCAAGTTGGTGGGGAAATGCGTAGCGCGTAAATCAGGGAATCCCCGAAAAGTTCATTATAAACGGAAAACTGCACTTTATTTTGAATAATATTTAGTTCATTTTATCCGAAAGTTCATTACAAGCGGATTCAGTGGTTCATTATAACCGAAAAAAAATACATTAGATATATGGAAAAAATTTCGTTACTTGAAATACAGTACACTATAGCCGGAAGTTCATTACAAGCGGGTTCATTATAACCGGACAATACTGTATATACATATTTTTATTTTAGCTTAGGATTATCATAAAATAAAATTCAAAAAAATCAGTTTTTTATTTTTTCAATTTTTCGTTGCTTCAGTGTTTCGACCTGCAATTTTTGGATATTACAATTTTTCGATTTTTCAGTTTCTCAATTTTTCATTTTTCGATTTTTAAATTTTTCGATTTATCAATTTTTCAGGCTCTTGATTTTTATTTTTACTTTTCCCGATTTTCTTAATTTTCATTTACTCGATTTTATATCATAATTTTTCAATTTTTCGATGTTTCAGTTCCTCGATTTGTAATTTTTTGATATTACAATTTTTCATTTTTCCATACTTCAGGTTCTCAATTTTTCATGTTTCGATTTTAAAGTTTTTCGTTTCCCCAATTTTTGAAGCTCTTGAATTTTGTTTTTAAGTTTTCCGATTTTGTTCATTTCCATTTTCTCGATTTTATATCATTTTTCGTTTTTTTTATTTTCTTTAATTTTTCAGTTTTTCTATTTTCAATCTCTCGGCTTTATAATTTTTTCTTATTTCGACTTTGATTTTTGCAATTTTTAGATATTACAATTTTTCATTTTTCGATTTTCAGTTTCTCAATTTTTCATTTTTCGTTTTTTTAGTTTCTCAATTTTTCATTTTTCGATTTTCCAGTTTTTCAATTTTCTATTTTTCAATTTTTAAATTTTTCGTTTCCTCAATTTTTCAAGCTCTTGATTTTTATTTTTAGTTTTCCTGATTTTGTTAATTTCAATTTTCTCGATTTTACATGACAATTTTTCGTTTTTTCATTTTCTTTAATTTTTCAATTCTTCCATTTTCAATGCCGCGGTTTTATAACTTGTTTGATTTCAACTTTAATTTTTGGAATTTTTCGTTGTTTCAGTTTTTCGATTTTTAATTTTTTGATATTACAGTTTTCCATATTTCGATTTTTCAGTTTCTTAGTTTTTCATTTTTCGATTTTTAAATTTTTCGTTTCCTCAATTTTTTATTTTTAAGCTCTTGATTTTTATTTTTTATTTTCTGGATTTTGTTAATTTTCACGTTCTCGATTTTATATAATAATTTTTCGTTTTTCGATCTTCTTGAATTTTTCAATGTTTCAGTTTTATAACTTTTCCTTATTTCAACTTTAATTTTTACAATTTTTGAATTTTTGATTGTTTTCAGTTTTTCGATTTGCAATTTTTTAGATATTGCAATTTTTCATTTTTCGGTTTTTCAGTTTCTCAGTTTTTAATTTTTCGATTTTTCCGTTCTCAATTTTTAATTTTTGCATTTTTAAATTTTTCGTTTCCTCAATTTTTCAAGATCTTGATTTTTATTTTTAATTTTCCCTATTTTGTTAATTTCCATTTTCTCGATTTAATATCATAATTTTTCTTTTTTTCATTTTCTTTAATTATTCAATTTTTCTATTTTCAATGTGTGTTTTATAACTTTTTCTTATTTCAACTTTAATTTTTTCAATTTTTCAATTTGCAATTTTTAGATATTATAATTTTTCATTTTTCGATTTTTCGGTTTCTCAATTTTTCATTTTTGGGTTTTTTATTTTTTCAAATTTCAATTCGATTTTTCAGTTTCTCGATTTTTAATTTTTCAATTTTTATGTTTTAAGTTTCCTCAATTTTTCAAGCTCTTGATTTTAATTTTTAATTTTCCCGATTTTTTTTTTCAATTTCCATTTTCTCAATTTTATATCACAATTTTTCGTTTTTTTTTATTTGCTTTTTTTTCAATTTTTCAAATTCACTCTGATTCTTCAATTCTTCGGTTTTTCATTTTTTTTAATTTTTCAATTTTCCGATTTCTTTAATTTTATTTTTTTTTACAATATTTTGTTTTTAAAAAGGTTTTGCACTTTTTAATTTTTTCAATTTTTAGTTTCAATGTTTCAAGTTCTTGATTTCCAATTTGTAGAATTTCAAAGTTTTCGTTTTATGCTTTTTCGTAGTTTCATTTTTGATTTTTCCGTTTTACAATGTTGCAATTTTTCCATTTTTTTATTCGAAAAGTTGAAAAATTGAAAAATCGAAAACTGAAACATCGAAAAAGTGGAAAATCGAAAAATTGCAAATCGAAAAAAATTAATGAATTGAAAAATTAGAAAGAAAACGAATCGAATCGAACATTTGAAAACTCAAGAATTGTAAAATCGAAAAATTATGAAATCGTCAAAATTATAAAGTCGAAAAAGTGTAACGCTGAAAGATCGAAAAATTAAAAATTATTTACATGTTCAGAAATTAAAAATCGAAAAAATGAAAAATCGAGTAAATGAAAACATTTTAAAAGCCAGTAATCGAAAAATGGTAAAATTTTGAAATTTTAAAAATTGTAATTACATATTACATATTTAAAGTGAAAACTAGGAAAATTGCAAATTGAAACGAAATATTGAACATAGGGAAACGAAAAATCGAGCAACTTAAAAAAAACATTAATGAAACGAAAAATTAGAAAGAAAATCGAATCGAAAAATTGAAAATTCAAAAATTGTAAAATCGAAAAATTATGGAATCGTCAAAATTGTGAAATCGAAAAATTGAAAAATCGTATATCGAGAAGTTCAGAAATTTAAAATAGAAAAAATGAAAAATCCAGTAAATGAAAAAAAGTTTAAATCCAGTTATTGAAAAATGCTAAAATTCAAAAATTTTGAAAATCGTAATTATTGTTACATATTTAAAGTGAAAACTAGTAAAACAGCAAATCAAAAATTGAGAAATCGAAAAACTGAAAAAAAACGAAAAATTGCAAATTCGAAAATGTGGAACAACAAAAAATAGCAAATCGAATAACAGAAGAAACAAAAGATTGAAACATTGGACAACGAAAAATCGAGGAACTTCAAAATCGAAAAAAAATTAATGATACGAAAAATTAAAAGAACAACGAATCGAATCGAAAAATTATGGAATCGTCAAAATTGTAAAGTCAAAAAACTGAAAAATCGAGTGAATGAAAAAAATTTAAAATCCAGAAAGTGAAAAACTTAAAGACCGAAAAATTGCAAATTGAAAACTGAAAAATCAAGAAACTGAAATTATAATTGAAAAAATAAAGAAAATAAGAAACCGAAACGAAAAATTGAATAACCAATAAATAAAATTTTACGTGGCATAAAAAATCCACCATCCAACACCAAAAATAACAATCAACACCGTCTTGATTTCACCACAAGCGCGCCATTTCACACACTTCTCCTCTACACACGTAATCGTTGTGCAAGAAAACCCCCGGTAATTGTCCCTCGTGCTCTCTCTTCCTCGGCATAACCACCGTAACATTATAATATAACATTATAATGTGGGTAGGTCGGGTCTTTCACCGAGATGGGAATAGCAGGTTGAATGTCGCGTACGACACCTCTGCACGTTCTCATTACCATATACCGTGTGTACGACGAATGTGGAGTAGTGGGCAGTCGACTGCTCTCGCCCCTAATTAGACTCGTGACAGCAGATGGTTCGATGGTTGGTTTTTGGCGCCTACGGAACGGACAGCCGACCGGAAACTGGAAATCGAGGATAGTGGGACGGAAATGCGAGATCCGTATCAGTTTGATGAGCTTTATTGGGGAATTTTGGGCCAGCGAGCTGGGGCCTGGGTGGGCCGGGGGCGACCTTCGGCGGCCTTAACGAGGCGTGAATGTGGAATGAAAAGTGAAAATTCGAACGTAGCGAAACTGGAACTCGATACTCAAACTCTCAGAACAAGATTCTGGATATTCCGCTACCAGAACATTCTCGACGAAACTTGATTGTCTCACGATTTTCCTAACGACGCAATCTCATATTTTCGACGAACTCATCCGGAACATTACCATAACAGTAACACCTTTAAGGCCCCATTAAACCCAGAAATCCCCCAGTCCTATAAATCTTCGCGTTCGCACGCATTTTCTCTCCTTGATCTTTCCTTGCCGCCAACCGAAAAACCATACCATCACTTCTGTTAAACCCATCATCTTGACCCACTCGTAACTCGCCGCCCACCACCGCCGCCGAATCGGCCGATTTTTTTCACCTCTTATCTCGAGGTAAACGTTTCGATCGACATGACATTCCTCGGACAGGATGTGTGTGGGCGCCCGCTCGTAAAAAAAATTAAATCCTGGCCACGTGGTCTATTCATTCCTTCGGGTGTTCGGACGAAATCGCAACCTTTGTACCGGGGCATTATTCTGATTCGGTTGTTTGCTTAATGGCTTGTGCAAATAGGTTAATGCCGAGTGCTCAGATAAAGCGCCAATTTGGTGTATTTGAATAATGAGTGGGTAAATATTGGAGGACGCGATGGGCTCAGCCGGGATTTGTAGGTCAAAGTCGGAAAAAGGTTTACACGAATTGCCAAATGGCGTTTCTGGATGATCCGCCAAAGGGGAAAACGTTTTGGTTTAGAGTTGGCTGTGTCTTATTGATCTTATGTCTTCAACTGAGACATTTCCAAAAAAGAACAAAGCTGCAGTTCTTAATTATAGTGTGTTTATCGAACAGATGGAGTGATCGCGTCAACTCCATCTGTTCGGTAAACGGTGTATATGTGCCACTTGTTTTCGGTAAATTTGGCTAGATACGATTTTAAACGGAGCAGAAAACCCGGCGAGGCTTCTCAGAAAGCCGGCCGAAAAATAATATTATGCAAATGAAGTGGATTCCTTGAACGAATTGCGTATTATCTCGACAATGATGTGTACAAAACTTAATAGGATGACGCGGACCGGAAGCGGCGACATGTGCAGCATCCGACCGCCGGATATGACAGGCATTCGGTGGGACATGCGGTTAATAATTAATCATTTTATTAATAAGTCGTCGTTTCGAGGACGAAATTTCGCAGGAATGCAGGTGTTAATTGGTATTCCAGATGAAAACTAACCTGCGTCCGATAAGCGCGCGAAGGACGGCCGGAAAAGCGAGAATCGTCGCCGAAACAATTCCCCAAATATAGAGTACGGGCCTCGATCAAGGCCGCGCAG